CACTTAACCAGTACGAACTATACCCTAACTGAATGACGACAGGTGACTGTCTTAGTTGAAGGCTCTTCAGTGTCAGTGTCTCTTGCCTTGTTTGTTATAGTTGGTGATTCACATCTTGGACTCGGGCTTTCCTGGAATGAAATGTTGTGACAATATTTAAGTTTCATGTGAAATGTTTTACTTAATCATACTTTTACATGTACTGCCACTAATTGGGCATTTTTCTCAAAAATTAGGTTATTGGTACTGCCATGTGTCTAGCTTACTGAAATCTAGTGTTGTAGTTTAGATATGATGTAGTTATGTGCTGTTGAGTTGGTTCTGACTCATAGCAACCCTATATAAGTGTCTTAAGGCTATGAATTTCATGACAGCAGAAAGCATCATCTGTCTCCTATAGGTTTGAACTGCCTGCCTGGTGATTAGCAGTCTAGTTCCTATCCTACAGTGCTGCCAGTGCTCCTTAGTTTAACATGTTGTTAAGTGCCATTGAGTTGGTTTTGACTCATAGGGTTTCCAAGGAATGGCTGGAAGATTTGAACCACTGGCCTTGTGGTTAGTAGGCTAATGTTTAGCTTACAGCGCTACACCAGGACTCCTAGTTTAACATGTTGTTAAGTGCTGTTTTAGTTCCAACTCAGTGACACTGTGTAGGGTCTCTGAGAAGCAGCTGGTGGATTTGAACTCCTGACGTTGCGGTTCTCAGTCCAGTGCTTATCTTACTGCACCACACGAGCAGTCATAGTTTAGCATAGTGTTACTTAATATATATACAGAGAAGTTTATATCAAGGAAGTGACTCATTCCAAGTCTGTGGGTCAGATGTCAGGCAGAAGACTTCTCCCCACTCACGTAACTGTAGAGCTGGTAAACTCAAGATTGGCAGGTCGGACGACAGACTTCTGGCTGCAGAGGTAAATGAATCCAAGGTTGGCAGGTAAGAAGGCAGGCTACTGATTACTCCCATCATGCACAGGCAACACAGCAGGCTGTTGGTGGCTCAGGTTGAGTGAACTAGAGGTAGGATGATGAACCAAATTCAGGATCCAGATCCAGCAAAAGCAAGCCAGTTTAACTAGAGGAGCAGTATTTTCCCATCAAAAAATTAAGGGATTTAAAAAGTGAATTTATGTTGAACTTTATCAACTTATGTTTTTAACAGAATATACTTTTTGAAAATCATGAATCATGCAATTAGATCTGTCTTGGTATGTGCCATCATCATTCTTTTAAAACCTCAAAAATGTGTATACTTTGTAACCATGGTTCTTACTAGATCATGTTTAGTATTTAGATTAATTAATGAAGAAATATTTTCATGAATTTCTCTTCCAGAATCTGGTCAACCTGCCGTGCCATTGGACAGACAATTCCTCATCCGTGAACTGAACTCATTGGAAGAACCAAAGGATAATACAATGTAAGAAAGTTTTGTTTTCCAGATAGATTTAATAGGCTTTCATGGAACCCTGATGGCGCTATAGAATAAGCCCTGGACTGCTAACTGCAAAGTTGGAAGTTCACACTGCTAGCCGTTCTGCAGGAGAAAGATGACCCTCTGCTCCTGTAAAGATTTACAGCCTCAGAAGCCCTCTGCAGGGTCTCAGTGAGTTGGAACTGACTCCATGACTCTGGGTTTAATAAGCTTCAGATACTGTATTGGAGTCATAATTGCGCTGTTCGTTTTATTTCAGTTCAATTCAGCAGATCTTTATTCTAACATGTGTCAGTCCCTGAGTAGTGAAAACAGTTAATGTGCTCAGCTGCCAACTAAAAGTCTGGCAGTGGCTCCTTGAAAGAAAGTCCTAGTGGTGTCATTCTGAAAAATCAGCCATTGAAAACCCTGTTGAGTACAGCTCTTGTTAGACATACATGGGACTGTCATGAGTTGGAATCAACTCAGTGGCAACTGGTAGGCAGTAGGTGTCAAGGACTACTAAATCCAAGGTTTGCAGCCGTTATCGACACAGGTGAGGTGTATACTCGGAGCTACAATTCCCAGGAGTCCCTGAGGCACAAGCTTCTCCGCTTCTTTCAAAGGGCAACCCCTTTAGGCTTCCTGGCCCATCCAGGAAGCTCTGTGGGTTATTTCCTTCCTCACACAACTTCCTTCACTTTCACGTAGGAATTTACTCAGATCTCCCTCACCTTAGAGAATCTCTGAACTCCTGCCCTAAGAACTGCTTTGGTTCCTTTGTGTACCACTAAATGTACTAAAAACGAGCCCTCTATATGGAAACTGTGCTCTTGAAAAGCTTGGTGACCACCTTTTAGTAATTAATTGTAGGTCTGTTCCTACTTGAGTATTTCATAAACTTTGTCCAGAAGATCCCCGGACAGCAAGAAAAAAAAATGTAGCTAGGAATTTTGGGGCCGTAGCTCAAAGCAGCCTCTCTCTCTCTCTCTCTCTCTCTCTCTTTAGCAAGAAATTTCCTTAAAGACTTATGTTTATGTTTTCGCTTTGTAAAAATACGTTGGATATATTCCTTCTACTTTATGTGTTTGTCTTACAATAAAAACACAACAGAGAAGTTAAACTTAAAAGAAAACCCATAGACAAAATGAACTTAGTGTAGTGGAACAAAGAATCCAGCAGCAGCACAAAAAAAGCACACAGAACAATGACAACAATCAATTCATACCTATTGATAATTACACTAAATGTAAATGGATTAAGTGTACAGGTCAAGAGACATAAAGAGCAGAATGGATTAAAAAAAACAGGATCCTTCAATATGTTGTCTACAAGAGACATCAAAAAGATGGAGACAGCCTAAATGCTCATCAACAGAAGAATGGTTAAACCCACTTTAGTACATACACACAATGGAACACTACAAAATGTTGAAGAATTATGATGACTCTTTGAAACACCTCACAACATGATTGAAACTGGAGGACATTATGCTGAGTTAAATTATGCTCAGTCAATCACAAAAGGACAGACATTGTATGAAACCAATGAGGTAAGAAGTTAAATGGTTCTCTTGATAAAAAATCCATCTGCGATGGTTATGGGGAGAGGCAGGGGGAAAGGAAAATTATTCTTGAGCTAGACAGTAGACACATGTTAACATGGGTGACAGGGCAGGCAACATAAAACAAGAAGGTGGTTTAGCAGAGGAAAGATGAAGGTAGCGGGAGACACGGAGACATGTAATAATTAAAGCAAACGGGTAAATACTGTTAACTGTTGGACATGGAGGGGATTACAACCATGTAATGAAGCAAAGTGTAGGGTTTGTTGAGTGTAAAACTGATGATCTGCTCTGTAAGGATTCACTCAATTCACATCACAATGAAAAGTTAAAAAAAAAAAGTTTACACTATATACTAATTAAATTGAAGTCCTCCACAAATTTTTGTGTAAGGTTAATATTCCAAGATCCTGTGCCATGTTTATTCCTTACTCTGTATCAAGCACCACCATTGACTTGGTTCCACCTAGTCCACTGCCGTTGAGTCTGTTATGCCTCATAGTGACCCTGTATAGAGTTTCCAAGAGTGGCTGGTGAGTTTGAACTGCCGACTTTGTGGTTGCGAGTCCAGTGCTTACCATATAGTGCCACATCAGGACTCATTGACTTTTTCAAGGCTTCTTTAAATGTGGGCAATCCCCAAAGATTGCCCTCAGCCTTCTTTTCTAAGTCCCCTTGAGCCTTCAGTGATACTTCCATCCTGGCGACTGCTTTAAATCAGGGCCAATCTCTGAGTCATGGGCTCAAACGCCTGCTGGCATCTGAAACTCGGTGTCTAGAATTCAACTCCGTTGTTTTCAGCTCCTCAGACCTCCTCATTGGTTCCTTATATAGCCATTCAGGCCTCACACTCGGAGTCTGCTAAAATTTTTGGCTCGTTTTCATTTCTCTACTAATCACCTTTCAGATTCCATTAATTCTACCCCTGCAGTGTCTGCTATCCGTTCTCACTGCCCTGTAGTATCTCCAGTTGCTTGCTTTTCCAGTTACTACGTCATACTGCCAGCAGTTGGCTTTCTGAGCAACAGTCATTGCTTTGTTTTAAAAAGTCTGACAGCTTTCCGTTGTGTACACTATGAAGCCCTAGCAGTTTTAAGTTCTTGTCTTTCTAGCCCTACCTGGTGGTTTTTGTGCCCTGAAGCACCTTGTGGATGTCATGCTGCTTTGTCTTTGTGTGAACTGTCCGCTCGGTCTAGAAGTCCCACATCACTGCCATCTCGTCACTACCTTCTCCACCTCACTCCAGCTTTCCTATTTATTGGCCCTCTTAGCCCCTTATGGCATTTTTTCCTTTTCCTCGTTTTTGTTTTAAACTTTTGATTGTGAATTGAGTGAAGGTTTACTGAAGAGATCATCAGTTTCACGTTCACCAAACCCTACACTGTGCTTCACTACATGGTTGCAATCCCTCCATGTACCATCATTTAACAGCATTTACCTCTGTTCACTTGAACTATTGCCTTCCTCCCTGTGTCTCTTGCTCCCTTCTCCCATGTTACCGTGTGTCTACTTTCAAGCCCATGAATAATTTTCCCTCCCCCTCCCCCATAACCATCATAGATGGTTTCTTTTTTTGAGAAAATCTTTTTACATCATTGGTCTCATACAGTGTTTGTCCTTTTGTGTGACTAATTTAGCTGAGGAGTCCTGGTATGGAACTATGAATCAATGCACTGGGCTGCAAGATGGGTTTGAACCACAAGGTCAGCGGTTCAAGCTCTTGAGCCACTCCTCAGAAACCCTTTACAGGGTCACTGTGAGTCAGAACCAACTCAACAGTATTTGACAGCAACAGCAGCAAATTTAACTCAGCATAATGTCCTCCCGTTTTAACCATGTTGTGAGGTCTTTCACAGATCCATCACTATTCTTTAATGGTTTGTTTAACCATTCTTCTGTTGGTGGGCATTTAGGCTGTCTCTATCATTTTGCTATGTCTCTTGTAGACAGCACACTGAAGGATCCTGTTTTATTATCCATTTTATTCTTTATGTCTCTTGACTGGTATATTTTCATCCATTTACATTCATTGTAATTATCAATAGGTATGAATTGATTGTTGTCAGTTTTTTGTGGGTTTTTGTGTGTGTGTGTGTGTTGTTGCTGGATTCTGTTCCACATACTTTTCTAGAGGCTGAGCTCATTTTGTTTGTGGGTTTATTAATTTTTTCCTTGCTTGAAGCAGTCGGTTTTAGCTTGAAATCTACTTGACTTCCTTACCAAGTTCTGTATCTACTCTATTCCCTCTTTTTGCTTTTTAGTTGACTTCATTATACATCAGTATCTCTGGTTCCCTAGTTGCAGTCTTGTAGGTTTGCTTTACTTTAAATGATTCTTTTTCTAGGTTGAATTCTGGGTGGTCTTGTCATGAATCTCAGGCTGTTGTCTACTGTGGTTTTTCTCATTCCAAAGGATACTCTTTAGCAATTTTTGCAAAGTTGGTCTGGTCATTACAAATTCCTATAATTTATCAGGAAGTGTCCTAATTTCTCCATAGTATTTGAGGGACAGCTTTGCTGAGGATATGATTCTTGGTTGGCAGTTGTTTTCTTTTAGATTTTTGTATATGTCTTAGCATTTAACAGTGCTTTTTATGCATATGTGGTGGTGGTGTGCTTAATTAATGCTTGTTGAGTTAAATTTTAAGTTTCAAAAAAATTTATGTCATTTACATAAGGAGCTCTGGTAGCGAGCGTAGTGGTTACAAATCGGGCTGCAAATCGCAAGGTCAGCAGTTAGAAACTACCAGCTGTTCCGCGGGAGAAAGATGAGGCTTTCTGCTCCTGTAAAGATTTACAGCTTTGGAAACCCTGTACAGGGTCGCTATGGGTCGGAACTGACTCGAAGGCACTTAACAACAACAACATATAAAAATCAAGGTAATTTTGGAAGAGAGAAGAAAACACTAGTTATATTGATTTGTTTTCCTTAGAGACTTTAAGCTAATATTAGATGATTGCATAAGCCTTGAATGTTGTTGGAAATGCTGTCAAGTCAGTTCCAACTCATAGCAAATCTACATAGAACTTCTGAGGAGCAGCTGGTGGGTTTGAGTAGCTGACCTTATGATTAGCAGTCCAGTGCTTATCCTACTTAGCTCCACACCAGGACTCCAAGCCTTTAATGTTGTTGTAGCTAAGGGCCATTGAGTTGGTTTTGACTCAGCGACCCTGTATAGGGTTTCCGAGGAGCGACTGGTGGATTTGAACTGCTGACCTCGTAGTTCAAAACCACCTTGCAGTGCCACACTAGGACTCCAAGTCTTTAGTGTTTTTGTTTGTTCAGTACTGTTGAGTTGGTTCTGACTCATAGAGACCCTGTATAGGGTTTCTGAGGAGCAGCTGGTGGGTTGGAATTGCTGACCGTGTGGTTCACAGTCTGGTGCTAATCCTACAGCGCCATGCCAGGAGTCCATACTTTTAATAGTAGTTCAAACTTGACTGAAAAAGAAAATCCATTGCTGTTGCATACATTTTAAAGGAAAATAATACATTTGAAGAAGTGCAATTTGGGATCATACACAGAGACATTGTTACAGCAGTATACATTTAACTACTAAAATAGCCAAGGAGCCTTGGTAGCATAGTGGATTACGATCTGTGCTGCTAACTGCAAGGTCAGTAGTTCAAATCTGCCTGTCACTCTGTGGGAGAAAGATGAGGCTTTCTGCTCCCTTAAAGATGTGCAGCGTCAGAAACCCTAATAGGGTCTCTGTATAAGTCAGAAATGACTCAATGGCTCCCAGCCACGTCACCCTGTCCCAGGCCTGCTGTAGGGCTGATAGTGTAGTGGTGAGCATTACTCTGCAGGGTTGGGAATCCATTGTGCCCGGTGTGTGATCCATGGAATGTGTTCTGTTGTCAGCAGGCTGGCCCACTAGACCGCCTCTAGGAGAGTTACCAGACATGTGACTGTGGCAGGTCCTACAGGGAAGAGCCCTGGGTTATCATCTGACCCATCTTTGATGATTATCCATATACTGGCATTATTATCTATATACTGTGGAGCTTGTATTCCATGGATAGTTTGAATGTTTGAGTATTCAACAATTGAAGTGAGTACTACTTTAGGAAGCATAGATTTTGACAATTTTTGAAAAGGATACACTTTTTAAAAACTAGGAAAAATAATTTGAAGGAGTCTAAGTATGACTTGTATGGAAGAAGT